CTCACATCCAGCTGTGGAATCGACCAGCTGGTCGATCCTGGGGAGTGGATATAAATACTTCGGGCATGCCTTGTTCAAATCTCGAAAATCTATACACATCCGCCATTTCCCCTCTGACTTTGAGACCATAACCGTGTTCGAGAGCCACTCTGGGAACTGGATCTCCTTTACGTGGCCCGCCATCAAGAGTTTTTCCACTTCCGCCTCAATTACTCTATCCATCTCTGCCCCATGGTTCCTCCTCTTTTGCTTCACCGGCCTTACTGTGAGGTCGATGTTCAAACGGTGTTCAATAACTTCGGCCTTAATGCCCGTCAACTCCTCCAGCGAGTATGCAAACACATCTGCAAAATCTCTTATCACCTTAATGAGCTTCGATCTCACCGGCTCTTCCAATTCCTTTCCGATCCGAAATTTTCTCTCTTCGCATCCCTCGACCATCTGTATTTCCTCTACTTCACCCCCCCCGGCCGCATTTCTGCACTCTCTCTCCCCCTCTCCAGTTTGGGCTTTTCCTCCTTCGACCTCGACCCTCCTGGTCGATCAACCGTCCCTTCCTTAGAGCCTCATTGTTTCCTTGCCAGCTGTTTGTTGTTGCTCACGGTAGTTTGGTAGCAGCTTCTCGAGGTAAGCTGATCCCCTGCGATCTCACCCATGTTTTCGCCCACCGGATATTTTATCGTCATATGGTACGTGGACACGACCGTCTGGAATGCATTCAAGCTCGTCCGCCCCATGATGACGTTATAGGACGACTCCGCACCTACGACCACGAACCTCACCATGCGCACCTTCCTTAATTCTCCTGATCCCAATGCCACGGGCAAACTGACCTCCCCCATCGGCATAACCTCTCCTCCATTAAAGCCATAAAGCGCTGTGGTCATTGGTTTCAACTCCATATTCAGCTCTCTGTTGATCTGCACAAAACAGTCGTAGAACATCACATCTACCGAACTCCCGGTATCAATGAACACCCTTTTCACATCGAAGCCTGCGATCTCCGCGGTTATCACCAAGGCATCATTGTGCGGCAGGACCACTCCCTCGGCATCCTCCGCCTTAAAACTTATCACCGGCATGCGGGTCGCGATACTCACCTCCTCCCTCTTCCTCTTCATTGCTCGAACGTGGCCTTTCCTCGCATTGTTTGAGTCCCCGTCTGTCGGTCCTCCTGAAATCATATATATTGTGCCTCTTTTCACTTGGCCTACGTCTCCTTCTCTTCCCCGCTCCCTACTTCCTCGCCTCCTCTTTCCCTCATCTCTTTTTCGACCATCTCGACCACCTCGCGCATCCTCATCATCATCCTCCTCACTCCTCTCTACCGAGTCCTCCCGACACCTTCTCTTCTCCTTCCTCCTCCCCTTATCCTGATAAACAAACTCCTTGAGGTGTCCTGCTCGAATAAGGCGCTCATTCTCGTCCTTGAGATGCCGGCAATCCTCAGTAGTATGGCCATAGTCTTTGTGGAAGCGGCAATATCTCCTTGACTTCGGTTGGGTGGGCCCCTCGAACCTCGACCTTGGCCACGTCATCTCTTTCCCATCTATCCATTTTTCCATAGCCATCAAAACCTCGGCTACCTTCGCGTTCAAGGGGGTGTAATCATGGAATCTCTTTCCTCCAGAGATAGGTCGATCCTTCCACCTGTCCTCTCGCCCTCGATCTTGTTTAGCTCGACCCTCCCTCCTGGGCGAGGTTTTCCTCTTAGGCGACACCACTTTCTCCTTCCTCGGCTCCCCTCGACCTAGCTCCTCTAGTTTGGCAAACTCCGCCTCAGTCTCCTCGAGATTGATATATTTCCTGCATCTCCTCAATACTTCATCATACGTGTGAGCAGGGGTCTTAGCCAGGGAAGTCCGACACGGTCCTGCCCGCAAACTCCTTATCAGTCCTCCCGCCTTGACCTCGTCGACCGCCGATGGAATCTCCAAACAAGCCTGATTGTATCGAGCAACATATTTACGCAGTGACTCCTTCTCGCCTTGTCTCATCGCCATCAATGTCAAATATGTTTTTTCCTGAGCTACCGCACTCGAATATTGATTTGTCAACTTCTCCGCAAAATCCTAAAAGTCCACTATCGAGCCTGGGGGGAGCTGTTGGAACCAGTCGAGCGCCCCTCCCCTGAGGGTCGATAAAAAGGCCCTGCAGCTAACAGGGTCAGTATATCCATGCAACACAGCCATATTTTCGAATGTTCTCACGTGTCTCGACGGATCAGAAGTTCCATCAAACACCAGGTTAGTATCCTTGTAATTATTTGGCAAGGG